CGGGCACAAGCCGGCGTGAGTAGGTTAAACATTGAGTTTTATAAGGGCACCACGGGGTGACCAGCCCCTCCCCACCCAGCCACTCCCCTCCCAGCCCCTCCTCACCCTCCCCACCCAGCCCCTCTCCACCCAGCCCCTCCCCACCCTCCCCTCCCTCCCCACCCAGCCCCTCCCCACCCTCCCCACCAGCCCCTCCCTCCCCACCCAGCCCCTCCCCTCTCCACCCAGCCCCACCCCTCCCATGTTTGGATGCACGACGGACGGACGGACACAATAATCCCCTGTGGGCTGGTGTAACCAGGAAGTTCCTACCAGTATTATCTTTTCCTTGTCTTGAACCAATGCTGCTCAAATGATTCACTCCCGTGATGGCCGTGTGGCCGATGGGACAAGTGTAGAACATGTCTTTCGTACAGGGAGGGCGGGTGTGCGAAAGCGGAGGGAGAACTGCCCCTTGTATACTCTTTAGATCGTGAGACGCACGAGCATGATGGGTTCGCTTCAGCCGATGCCGTTAACGGGACACTAATCGTCAGCGGAGAGCGGTGGCGGCTGTTACACGGGGTGGAGATGATACCCCCGTCTGAAGGAGCGACACATCCTCGCAATTCAATTTAACATAGTGGCAATTATATAATTAATCACGTACAGCCCCTTCTCAACGTCACTGCTCGACGAAGGCCTTCCCATGATGCTGTGTTGGTCAGAGTAGAGTGAGATGGGAGGGGAGAGGTAGGGGAGTGTGTGGAGGGGAGTGGAGTGAGATGGGAGGGGAGAGGCAGGAGAGTGCGTGGAGGGCAATAGAGGTGAGAGGTAGGAGAGTGCGTGGAGGGGAGTGGAGCGAGGTGAGAGGGGAGAGGTAGGAGAGTGTGGGGAGGTGAGTAGAGCGAGATGAGAGGGGAGAGGTAGGAGAGTGCGTGGAGGGGAGTGGAGTGAGGTGAGAGGGGAGAGGTAGGAGAGTGTGGGGAGGTGAGTAGAGCGAGGTGAGAGGGGAGAGGTAGGAGAGTGCGTGGAGGGGAGTGGAGCGAGGTGAGAGGGGAGAGGTAGGAGAGTGTGTGGAGGGGAGTAGAGTGAGATGAGAGGTAGGAGAGTGCGTGGATGGAAATAAGAATCCACCGTGATACAGAAGCCGTGTAACGGAGGACATGCTGATCAGCGTCTCGGTCACCTCCTGGGGGTTGATAACTGATGACCAGCACAGGAGGTGCAGGTCAGGCCCCAGCGTTTGCAACACGGGAGTCCACTCAGAGTATGGAGTCCAGAATTATTTCCAAAACGCCGGTATTCCCGCACCATCACAACTCAGGTTTCCATTTTGAAGGGCGTTCATAAACCTCCGTAACATCCTATCACCCTGTGTGTGTGGGGAGGGGGGGGGGGGGGTTGGCGGCACAGTGGTTAGCAGACTGTGCTGATAACTCGGTCACTTGAGTTCAAATCCCAGCCATGGCTAACATCAGCAGCGAGTGATATCGGAACACGTCCTGGGCCTTCCATAGGTCGATTGGATTTTAAATGATAACAACAGTCTGCAAAAGGCGATGTGTGTAAACTGTCTGTGTGTGGGGGGGGCCTTGTGTGATATGGGAGCTGTGCAGGGAGTGAGCCCTAACAGGAGCTCGATGTCCACAATTGCCACCAAATTCCTTCAGGCTGAGTGGAGTCTCTTGGTATTTTATTGCAGTCTCTGAGCCTTGCAAAAAAAGTACGAGTCACACCACACGCTCGCTGCCGAGGCCACAGTCTAGCAGCCTGTTTTTAGGCACCATTCTCATCAAAGTGACGTAAAATAATCTCATCAAAAGCTTGCTTTATGCCTGCAAAGGGTGTAGGCGCAGCTCTGCAATTGCCTGCTCACGCCACCGCTGGTGGAAGGGCCTCAACTGTAGAGCGAACTCAAGAGGCTCTCTGGTCGACTCTGACACGTTGACCAGACGTGTCGGAAGAGGTGGACGTACCCACATTGTACCCCACCACGCAAGACCTGCCGACCATTGACTAACCCTGGTGAACCCATGAATACCACTGGGTGGACAGAGGCACCAGGAGACGGAATCCAACCGGCGATCTCCGGATTGCAAGTCCAGCGCACTTAGCCGTTACACCACGGCAGCAACCCTTCACACACCGCGGAATGAAAAAGTTATCTTTTCTGCAGGAGGCGCATTGCCCGAAACGTCTCCTATTATGTACTCGTCCTCTTTAGGCCACATTGTTATTGACGAAAGTGTTGAGTTTTTTTGATTTACGTAATAAAAAAGAGAAGGCCACATTAGCCATCGAGAGTACGGGATCTAACCTCTCAAGGCAGCCTGTGACGGCGTCTGTTACTTAGCAACGAGGGCTCAGGTGACCACGGCAGGCCCAGCGGACCGCACTGTAAATGGAAACGGTGGCAAGACTCTAAATCAGCTCGCTTCAAATCTCTTCTATTTGCAAAATCGGTAACCGCATGGAAAATAAAACAACAAAAAACGCCGGTAAAACCGGTGATCGGGCATTACCGCACGCGTGTCTCGCAATAACGGTTACATTGTCACTTTTTTTTTAAAGGAGAAGTAAAGGGAGCTGCAGATTAGATGATTCAGCGTGAAATGCCTCTGGTGAGGCAATGGGAGGGCTGAGGTGGATATTTCAACCCCTGATTGCATTAATGAGGCACTGACAACGACGTCACCATTCAGGAGGTCGTGGTTTCAATCCCAACCTTGATGCATGCTATACATTTGGAGTTTGCGTGTTTCTCCCCGTGGTCGCGTGGATTTTTCACCTGCTCCTCCAGTTTTCCCCTCCACATTTAGAATGAACATGCGTTGTGAGTATTTGGCTGCTGTAAATTTCCACGTGATAAGCCACTTTGTTGAGCTATAATTTGTGGCCAGGTCGCTTCTGAAAAAGATCTGCATAGCTCAGTGGGCCTTACCTGGAAAATTGAAAAGGAAAATGTAGTTTTAATTTCCTGTTTTTTGGGGGGAGTCACCCACATATTTTGAGTGGTAATTTTGCCAAAGGGTAGAGCATTCGCCGTTAGTTGCAGAGGTTCACGGTTCGAATCCAGCACCCGCCCTGATAAATACTGTGCTGTGTGTATTAACCCAAGTAGTAATAGTAGTAGTAATACCACGAATGGTCTGCTTTGCTCGCAGTGATGTAGTTGGCAAGAGGAACCCCTTGCATGCCGGCGTCGGGGTTCACGTTTCAGGATCCTCCTGAAATAGAGTCTCAAGACTCAGTGAGGCTTTCTTGGGTAAACAAGCGACAAATATCCCTAATAAAGGTTTTTTTGGACGAGATCGTGTAAGTATATATGTGTCGTTAACGCACCACCACCCGACACACCCAATTAGTAAGGCTTGTGCCAATTTGTTACCACTTCAGCACACCTGTGTGTTGGAGAGTAAACCCCACGACAATTACAAATCGAGTACGACGTTTCGCTCGTGATTACAACCAGCTTCATCAAGACATTAACCAGAATTGTGAAGAAGCCCTCCTGTTTCGGTCTTAAATATTACGTCTATATCCAGAGCCCAAACTGTAAATGGCCACCTAAGTAGTATGATGCTGTAAAACAGGAGAGGTGAACCTCCAGCCCATGCCCGCATGAGACGCGACACCTTGACACGGTCCGCAAGCAACACACATCATCCGTCACTACAAGCAACTTACAGCTGCACTCATCGGGGATTGGAAGGGAATATTTTAAATTTGGCAACAACGCTTCATTTCTAATACTAGCCGCACTTGGTCACCTGCGAAGGCGAGCTCTAATTATCGTTCACCTTATTGATGGATAACGCCAAGGTATGCGCTAATGCTTGGACAGCCAAAGGGTATTTGAATGTCTGACTCGGCCCTCATTAAGGAAAAGGTTTCCCACCCCTGCTGTGAGAACATTCAAGCACCACGCAGCAGGTCACGACGCACTCGCTCACCCGCTTGCTCACTCGCTCACTTGCCCGCTCGCTCACTACACTGCAGGTCACGACGATACGCCCGCTCGCTCAATCACCCGTTTGCTCATCCACTCGCTCACCCGCTCGCCCAGTCGCTCACCCACTCGCTCACCCGCTCGCCCAGTCGCTCGCCCAGTCGCTCACTGGCTCACCCGCTCACCCACTCGCTCACCCGCTCGCCCACCCAATCGCTCACTCGCTCACCCGCTCACCCACCCGCTCACCCACTCGCCACACTTCAGGTGACCTCGCTTCTCTCTCTGCATCTTCCTTCACAGTGCTCCACTTTGGAATTCCCTTCCATCGCTCTCGTCTCTTTTCCCAAACTCTCATAATAACCGTGCTCAATTCAAGAAACACATGTACTCTGACAATAAATTAACTATTATCGATTACAACTTTCAGAGTGCTGCCTGTTGCTGGCTGCTTGACGTTTGTGTTTCCAAGTGTAGGGTAACGCTTCGATCAACTTGACTGGTTTTCAACCAAGCGAGTACATAACAGCAACGAGAGTTATCATAGCCGCCACTCGCTGCCCCTCCTCCCTCCCACCCCTCCCCCAAGTTACTGGACGGACCAAGAAACAACCGGACAGGCAGAGGACAGAGGAGGGCCAATTTGGCCGATAAGACATCGTCGGTGTGAGGGCCGCCACGCCGCCTGCAAGGGCTGTTTTCACCATTTGTGTACTGTCGGGGGCCACACGTCAGGGGCCGCACTAAAGGCCACCAGGGGCCGCAGTGGCCCTCTGGCCTTGCAATAAAGAACACTGGCTTAGTCTGAACCTTCGTTTGAAAGAGTAAAAACAATTGATCGTTGTATTGAATCACAACCCCAAAATTGTTACAAGCATAGCTTTTGGGTTTGCACCTTTCTTGAATTGGACCTACCCAGCCATCTCAAGGGGTGGTGGGGGGGGGCACACGGGGGGCACGGCCGTTCATTAACGAGAGCGGCGTGCGGTTCACGAGTGACCCCACAAGAAATCACCAATGTGCCCACCCTCACCGGGGTGCGTTGCGACGGCCAGGTGTGACGCCTTACCTGCTGCACCGCAGCCAAACTCTGCAGCTGTGCGCTGCTCAGGTGCTGCTGCTGCTGCTGTTGCTGCTGCTGCTGCAGGGCGGCTGTTTGCAGCATGAGGTGCTGCTGCTGCGCCGCATACATCTGCTGCAGGTACTGCGCTGCGGTGCTGGGCTGCCGGTGCAGCGCCTGTTGTATGGCCTGTGTGGGTACACAAAGGTAGATGTGAGTACACGCTGACGCGAGGGTACGTATGTGTGTACACGCTGATGCGAGGGTACGTGTGCGTACATGGGAACACGAGGGTACTCGTACACTCTCATGTACTCTCGTGTTCCTGTGTACACACGTACTGTGGAGGGTGTTCCTAGCTTGGGACACCGTTGAAGGCCGTGTTTTTGTTTAGAAACCATGACAGAAAAGTAATCACAACAAGAGTAGAGCTTTCCGTGGCCTGGCCTGACCCGAGCCTGCTTTATGCGTCATCTGTGACTCCCTACCCCCTGCACACACGCAGCAGCATCCAGGCACCATCATCCACCTTCAGACAGCAGTTCAATGCTCACCTGGTTCAGGATCTCACCTGGTTCAGGATCTCACCTGGTACAGGATCTCACCTGGTACAGGATCTCACCTGGTTCAGGATCTCACCCATTCAGGGTGCTATACAAGGGGAAATTTAGCTCTGGCACCGCACTTCAGTTGTTAAAATGTTGCGTCCGATTTGCAAAATATGCATACACTATAAATCGTGTTTGTTCTTATTAATAAGAGTACTTGCCCACCGGCCACGGAGGGTCGGCTGTGAGTAGGGGTGGAGGGGATGGAGAGGGAGTATTCCGTGCCCGCACAGCTTGACAGCCCACGACGAGTCTGGGGCAAGATCCGGGCCTTGCTGGAAAGGACCAGGGACCATTAATGCTCTGAGCGCCGTGCTTGGCAGTGCCCATGGGGACACGGCATTGTTCGGAAGCACGCATTCAGTTTGAGCCAAACGGGCGCCCATGTAGCCGCCCGTGGACGGAGCGCGCTTGATTCTAACCACGTGCCCAGGGAGCCGCCGTTGGCCCAGCGAGCGGCGCTGGCCGTGGCGTTGGCCTCATTTCCTCCGGCACAGTGGGGCGCTGCATCAGAAATCCGCGTTTGGCGGGGAGGCGGATTATATGTCGGAGTGGTGTGTACATTGGTTTTTATGTATATTTGATGTTTGTCATTTGGCTTTTACCTTCTACACATATTCCGACTGTGCGATTAGCGTCACGTGTCGAAGAACGGACTCGTAATGACACCGCAGAACTAGTTTTGACGTCACGTCAATTGTCTCCTTGCCCAGGCTAAACAATTCATCTCTTAGCGTCCCACTGAGTGCTGATCGCATCCAGTAAAACCAACGTTTGCATGTATGTTGAACTTCTTCAAGATTCTCAACTTCCTATGCTTCAAAACGCGGTTTTAGTCACGGGCGAGTGGAACCCGGCATTGGACCCCCCGTGCGCCCCCACCTCACCTCTCCTCACTCCCCTCCTACCCCCCACCCCCGCTCGCCAGTTATTAATGACGCACGAGAGCGCGATGCCTCGTCCCCGCACCTCCGCTGACCGCAGAGCGAGCCCGCGACCCTCCGCGAGCGGACGTGACTCCACATAAAAGCCGACTCCCGGTGACTAACGGGGTTTTGGGGGGGGGCGACCTCGCGAACTCTGACCCTGAGTTTGTGGTTGGGGTGGGGGGGCGGTGGGGATAAAAGCACAAAAAGGGGAGGAGGGGGCACTGCGGACCGCAACAACGTAGTAGGGGCTGCAGCTGCCAACAAAAGGCTGCGATGCAGTGGATTGTTTCGCTTTTGAAATCGGCCAATGATGGAACGTTTCCACATACTTGAGCTGTGTTGTGTCCTATGTTGTTGTTGTTAGTGTTGTCGGTGATGCCATGAGAGTAACTTTGTAGAAGTGAAATCTGAGACGTGTCGGTTGCCGGGTGAGGGATTGGAGTGGAGTGATGATATTTTCCGTCAGTAAGACGTACGCATGATCTCCAGCTCCAACGAACAGCGACGCACCGGTGCTCGTCTCGCGTTTACAGCCCCGTCACAGCCAGTGGTGGCAACTCCACATTCCCATGGTGGGGGCCATTCTCTCCATAGGAAAACCATTGCTGACTTCTCCAACATGCGGTAAGCATTTTATTGGCCAAGCAAGAATGATGGGCTTAATCAACCCCATCCCCCAAACCAGGAGTTTAACTCGCAACCTTTTGTTTGCGAGCCGCTCGCTCTACCGCTGAGCCAGCTGGCCAGGTGAAATCAGTCGCTCTTCACACTGCAAGTTTTGCTGGCTGGAGGGATGGATGGCCAAGACCCAGAGACATGCGCGTTGCTCGTGTTATATTAAAAATGTATTTCAGTTCCTTGCATCGATTTACAAAGGCGTCATGTACTGACACGAAACCGTGGTGCCACACGCAGCGCCCTGACAGGGAATTAATTAAACCTCACGTGAATAATTATCAATTATAATTATTATTATCACGATGCTTTGCCACTCTTGAAACGTGCCTATTTCGGCCTCGTGCGTTACCACTGAACCCTGCAAATCATAGAGTCTGGTTCTCTGTGGCATATGATGTCACTCGTGAAATCGAAAATCCGTGGTGGCTCTACACGTCGATACGAACAAAACAACAAACACTTAAAATGCCATCTGGACAACGAACGTCCGCCGTTTGTCGCGACGTCACAGCATCCCACGCGCCGTTGACCGATAACACACACGCAAGTTGTTAAAACTACAGAGATTCGTATCACCGGTACGTACTTCAACAAACACGGCGTGCACGCCTTACACACGTTTAACGATGGGAATTCTAGCGCAGTTTGCAAACCTTGCTTGGAAGAAGTGCGCTGAGAGATCACGGCCGAGGCTTGCGGCGTCAGAGCGCGCTTACCCCGAATGCGGCTTTAACGTTGACCCCGCGAACGAACGATCGGCGTGGGAGGTGCTCACCCTCGACCCAGCTCGCCCCCGAGGCTACCGATGCCGGCCGGCCCCCGGTTTTTTTTCAGGCTCCACCACGAGAGCGCGGCGGCGCACGGAGCGATCGTGGCGGGATGCTCGCCGTCCACCCGCGCTCTCGCGACCTGCGACGCGAAACCCGCCGGCTTTTATCGTCCGCAAAGTGAGCGGCATGCTGGGAATGCCGGCCCTGCCCGGCCTAGCCCGGCCGCCCTTTAATCCCAAAAAAGTCCCGTGACCCCCGGCGACCCGGCGGCATAGAGCAGGGCCCCAATAAAAAGGCAGCGGGCGGGAAGCATCCGCCCCCTTTCACCCAGCGTCTTGCCGTCCCCCAAAATTGCGCGCCCTCCTCCCGTCTTTCTGTCCCCTTCTGTGCCCCCCCCCACCCCTCAGAACCGTCTCCCCACGTCCCCCCGCGCACTCGCCCTCTGTCCCCGCGTCTCGGCAACTTCCGTGGAGTGGAGAGAGAGGGGGCGGCGGAGGGCACGGCGAGGCGCGAGGCTGCTCCGGCGCACGCGCATTTATCAGCGCTTTCTTTTTTTTTTCTCATTTGCTTAACATCGCTTTTGTTGTCGACGCTGACCCCGAGAGCCTAAAGTCGCCACTTATTTAACATTTCCTTTCATTCCGCCGTCATCCGTTAGCCTATTCACTCGCCCCGCCGCGCCCGGCTGACTTGCCGGCGCGCACGTTGTATTGTCAGGACCCTAACTTTTTAGGCGCTGCTCAACGGCGCATCTTTGTTTCTCTCTCGCAGATTAGCAACGTGGGCTGTGACCTTGCCAAGAAACGAAGAACGTATTTTAAATGATAACGAAATTCCACACGACCTCAAGCGACAGCAGACAAGCACCCTATGAAATCATTCGCAAGTGTGGGCCATCATTTGTTCGTGTCAAAGTCCAATTGTTTAATCTACAAGGTATAATGATATCTCTCTAATCCTACAAAAATTACATACATAGTACCAATGGTCTAATGTGAGACAACGCAATGTTGTTTTATATATTAGTTTTAACATTTTCATTTTTATTCCTTCTAAATGTATTTCTAATTACGCCACTTGCTTCACGCCATGAAACGCAATTTCCAATTCGAATCCTACAGCTAGCAGTCCACCACCCTGTGCCAATACAAATAGCATCTGCATTTCCCAAAGGTGGGAAGAATGATTGTCTGGAAGATGACATGACAGAATGACTTCTGAAGTCCCTACAATTGCCCCTTGTCCACACGAGCTGGGGCACCTTGGACATGCCCTGCTCAGAGTGTTTGTCACGCGTCAATGAAACCGTTTAACTATGGGACCCTTTTTGCCGGCAACAAGATGATGAAAGAAGAACAGGCTTTTCCCATTTCCGGCAAGAATATAGGTGTTAACCTTTTATGCGAATTCACTCATCATCAGTCTACAGACTGAGTTCAAGATACCCATCCTCTGTCATCACCGCGCTCTCATCCATGATCCTCCACATGATCTGGCCGTCCTCCCCTGAAAAACGGGGAGACTCCACCAACCCTCGGCCACTCAGGACCTCGTCCCTCAGCTTTCTCGCGGTGCCCTCCCAAGCCAAGACTGCGCTGGCTGAGCGTCGCTTCTCTGCAGCTGCTCCAATCGCTGTGGAATCGCATCCCCGCTTCTTAGTACCCTGCTGCCGCACCAGCAGCACCAGCAGCAGCACCAGCAGCAGCATCACATCCAGCACCACGTGTAAGAAGATTCCTCTCACCTGCTTCGTCAGGCCTACGAGAGGAGGAAGCTGGAGCGTGGCTCCGTGGGGAAACTCTGAGCCGCAACTGGAAATTTGACCTTTTGTAAAAATGTGCGTATTATAAATAGTTTTATTTCAATATTATTATTCATTTTCAGAGCTGGAATAAGCCAAATTGCGGGAAATCCCATATTTCGCAAAATAGTTTTATTTATTTTACGTCTTTTGTGCAATTATTTCTTTCTGGACGAAGACCATCAAGTCGGTTGCATCACAGTGGGCAGTGACCCAGATTCGAAGCCAGAACCTCAGTGGTGCCGGCTCAGCACCTCTGAAAGGGAACTGTCCTCTCTCCCCCCAGAGCTGCCCAGCCACCACAGGCACGGACGCTGTCCACTGGGCCCTCTCCTGGATAAGCGAGGGCATTAATAACGCGCTGCCTTGTGCGTTGTGCGGGGTGACAGAGTCACCGTGTGGTGAGCTCGGTGTGGCGTGCGTCCCGTGGTTTAACCCAGGGCAACACAAACTCCATTCCTCGCGACCCAACACGGTACACGTCCCACTTTACCAATTTACACCCGTTAAATAAAATATGAAGTCGTATCGCACGCTGCAAGTGCCGGACGATTACTGAACAGCTCCCCAGGTGACGCGTTTAGAGCATGGATTAATTTGAATCGGCGCTCTGTACGTCACGTGGGACGCACGTGAACACACACACAGACAGTCGCCGTCTTAATCTGAGTTGGCGTTGTCTGTGTCAGGCAGCAAGAGATGAGCAATCATCAGGCATGTGCAACATGTAAAAACTTATTTATCATTTGAACAGCACGGCGCAGTGGTTAGCTCACTGCGCTATGAACCTGCTGGCCTGCGTTTTGGTTCCCGGCCGCGGCTAACATCGGTGGCGAGTGACACTTGCACCGGTCCTGAATACCCCGCTTCACCGACCTGCACCAATCAGTGCAGTGAGGGGACGGTCAAACAAAACAATGCCCATGATTGAAATGACAGAGGAAGACCTTTATCCAGCAGCAGATTGACAAATAAAATAGTCAACTCTGAAAGGCGTAGGAGGCGTTGGGTCACGAGGATTGGTGCTTTGGGAAACCCCGATCTAGCCCGATGGGCCCGTCGTGCGGGAGGACACGTTTGACTCGCCCACCTGGACCGTCTGTCGGTCGTAGACGGAGAGCGGAGGTCCTTGTCCGCCGCAGCTGCCGGTCACGCTGGTGACGGCGCCGGCGACGGCGCAGGCCACCGTGACGCCCGGCGGCCCCGCGGGGGGGCTGGCCGGCACGGCGCCGTTGCTCGCCGAGCGGGGCGCGGCCAGGGCTCCGCCGGTGCCCGCTCCGACCCCGACCGCCGCCGCGACCGCCGCCGCCACCGCCGCCGCCGCCGCGCCGGCACCACTGCCGCCGCCATTCCCACCCGGCGAGGACGTGACGGGCCCCGGCGAGAGCGAGGATGAAGAGGAAGAGGAGGATGAAGAGGAGGACGGAGACGAGTTGACGGAGGAGGCGGGCGGCGCTAGCTGCTCGCTGTCCATGCTGCCGGCACTGCGGAGCCTGTGGGAATGGTGCGCACGGAGACGGTGGCGCTCCGCTCACTGCTGGTGAATTCACGCGTTGTGAGTACGTTGAGGGTTGTGGAGCATTGGCGCAGTGGTTAGCACACTGCTTTACAAACCCCGCGACCCGACTTCGATCCCTGCTCACTATAAAATAAGTGGTGAATATTGGAAGCGGTTCTGGGCCTCCCCTAGGTTGACTTAGCCTTAATTGAGGAACTGGTGCAATGTGTAAACAACAGCAAGGGGAAAACAAAGGCGGCTGGGCGTGGTGCTGGCCACTCACCCCCTCGTGTGCCGTGCCTGCCTTAATAGGTGTTCGCTAACACCATTTGCCCCAACAGTCTGTTACGGCTATACGGGAGATCTTTGTATAAAGAGCGTGGTCCTGGTAGATTTGCCGTGATTTCATTTTTCACAATACAATATAAAATCCCACGACATTCCATAGCTGTGTCAATGGCATTTTACAATTGTATTGCATCGTTTGCCTTGCTACTAGTGTCGGTGTGCCGTCAGTGCAATTCCTGGCCACGGCTCGGAGTCGATGGGGAGACAGAGGAAATTGGGTGTGCGTCGTGCTGGCCACACCACCCAATGTAAACTAATCTGCTCTCAATTAGGGCTCACTGCCTATAGTGCTACATGGGATACCTTTGTCTTTAATGCATGCTATGTTCATGTAAAGAAAGAAGTTCAACATAACGTACATGTAAATATATATTTATTTAGCTTGATAACTTGGCCACAAAAAAAAAAATTTGATGCCGGCAAACATCGGCATTTTCTAATGACTCTTCACTCTCTTCCCTTGTCGGCCAGGGGCAGATCTAAAACCCGAGCGTGGTGGAGGAGGAAGTGGTAGTGATGAGACTGTAACGGTGGATCTTGTTATTAGAGTGTGAACTCTGCAAGAGATATGGGATCTCGGTAGCTATAATGGAGTAGGTGGCACACGCTACTAGGAGTAGCCAAAGCTCGTCGTGAGAAGTGGTATTCTGGATGTGGTGTGCCAGGTGCAGATCAATTTTCACAAGACCCGGCTGAAATTAAACCCCGGCTCAACGTGCGGTAGCAAGAGGGACGGCAGTGTCTGTGTGTGCGGGCGTGCCAATATCTCGCGGCTGTCAAGTTATTAGATGACCCACCTCTACGATAAGTCAGCCGCCCAGCACCTAAACGCCAAGGGCTATAGCCGCGGAGGTGGCGGCGGCGCTGGTGGCGCTTGCGAGGTCGTGGAGACGCAGCCAGTCCTGGAGGCGCAGGCCCTTGACGCGGTCAGGATGAGCGCGACTCCACTGCCATCCAGAGCTCGGGCGCCCACGCGGCTCCTCCAGCATCACCTGCGAGCGACGTTGACAATGCCGTGACTCTCCCTCCCGACAGATATCAATTGAGTAGCAGCTATATCATTGGGTCGATGTTATATACGCAAGGCTTTCACGGCTCATAATTGGTTTATTTTGGATCAGACCGTCGTGTAGATACGATATAATGGCAATGTTTAATTATCACCCTCAAACACCTGACAGCCAATCAAACCAAGCGATTGCGTCATGGGCAAATGCGCCCATAGATTCGGTTCGTTCGCAAGACCGAATGAGTAATGTTTAACAAGAGCCGGGCTCTTGTTAGAGATCTGATGATGCTGGGAATCATCTGCAGTGAAACGTCGTTAAAAAACCTTCGGTTTTGCTGAAAAACTCAACTCGACTGGCACGTTTGCCTGTGACGTGGCAACCCGATTGGCTCTGTCGGGTGGTGGAGGGTTATTGTACAAAACAAAATGCATCAACACCGACACGGCAATCAAACCCAGGGGCCGGAAAACCTGCGGCTCCTCCAGGAGCTGTTTCGCGTGCCGTTATTTATTAAGGACCCACGGTCTCAACGTGTTCACGTGGGTTTTATCCCACCAAATTCGAAGATAATTTCCTATTCTTGTTATTTTAATTGGCGTTCTATGATCTAAGCCATAAGGCAGTCCTCGATACAACGATGTCAAGGTTGGAATCCAGCCGCTGGCTTCAAGAATCGCAATGAGCGTCACCCACGCGCGGCCACACGCGGCCACACGCTCGCGTTGGCAGCGGCGGCCGTCAGCTGCTAACGCACAATGCACACACACACACACACGTGCATGTTCAACTTCTTTCGCACCGTACGTAGCCCACATTGCATGTTTACGCGCCGTTCCAGCTACTCGTTTAAGACCGAGTCCACCTCGAGGAAGATCCAAAACCAGTTCTAATTTTTTTTTAAAAACGCCAACTTAAGAACTGGGATCTCCACAACACTTTAATGTCTCTTTTGCAAGGACACTACTCACGTGTTAATGACAATAATTGCATTTGTATGAATCGCACGAGAGTTAATCGCTAAAGCATTGCACACAGCAGCAGCAGCAGCAGCATAGACCAGCAGGCACTGTACAGAAATATTCCGAATAGCGGACTTGTGAAAGAGCCGTCACTTTTACATACAACACGCGCACGTGACACGCGCCTACATAACCACGACTGCGATCGTATTGTTGTGTGAATGACGACAATTAAAGGAACGATATGAAGACAAAGTGTACCGAGATGCGCCCTACATTACAGCCGACAGGACGAGCGAGCGAGCGAGCGGCAGGTACAGTAGCGCCTGTCGCAGGCCGCCTCCAGGGCCAGGGAGCAAGCGGGAGGGCTCAGCACACACACACACGCAGGCCCCTGTGTGCGTGTGTGTGTGCACCTGACTCAGCCAGACACTGCAGCAGCAGCAGTAACAACAGCAGCAGCAGCAACAACAAACAACAACAACGGCTGCTTGACTAAACGTCAAGGCGAATGCCAAATTCTCACCCAAGCGGCGCAGGCGGCATCTGTCAAAGCGGACCGTTGATTGGTCGATTCTGGAGGCCTCCACTAGCCCCGCCCCTCTGGCCACACGCCCCGCCCCTCTGGCCACACGCCCCGCCCCTCATCACCACACGCCCCGCCCCCCTGGCCACACGCCCCGCCCCTCTGACCACTCGCCCCGCCCCTCTGGCCACACGCCCCGCCCCTCTGGCCACACGCCCCGCCCCTCTGACCACTCGCCCCGCCCCTCTGGCCACACGCCCCGCCCCTCATCACCACACGCCCCGCCCCCCTGGCCACACGCCCCGCCCCTCTGACCACTCGCCCCGCCCCTCTGGCCACACGCCCCGCCCCTCAGGCCACACGCCCCGCCCCTCTGGCCACACGCCCCGCCCCTCTGACCACTCGCCCCGCCCCTCTGGCCACACGCCCCGCCCCTCAGGCCACACGCCCCGCCCCTCTGGCCACACGCCCCGCCCCTCTGACCACTCGCCCCGCCCCTCTGGCCACACGCCCCGCCCCTCTGGCCACACGCCCCGCCCCTCTGGCCACACGCCCCGCCCCTCTGACCACACGACCCCCACCCCCCGTGTCGCCTGTTCAATAGACTTTCTGGGGGCAAGTTGCTGTGGGAGAGCAACCCGTGAAGGCCGCCACGGCACACGAGCGGGTGGGGTGGCCAAGCAACCAACCGCGCCCGGCCGCTTTTGTCTCCCTCGTGGTTGATGTTTACAGATCGCAGCAGGTAGTCATTTCAGGCCGAGTCGACCTAGGGGAGGCCCAGCAGCGGTGCAGAGATATTCGCCGCCGGGTTTGTTGGTGGACGTGAGCGGGAGTCGAACTTGGCTTCTACGCCGGGTTCGCACCGCCCCCCAGCCCCGCCCCTCAGACCCCCCGCCCCTCACTCACAAGCCCAGCCCCCTCAATCGGCTCTTCTCGCCCCTAAGCCCCTCCCCTCAGGCCCCCAGCCCCGCCCCTCAGGACCCCAGCCCCGCCCCTCAGGCCCTCACCCCCTCCCCTCAAGCCCCCAGCCCCACCCCTCAGGCCCCCACCCCCTCCCCTCAGGCCCCCGCCCCTCAGGCCCCCAGCCCCTCCCCTCAGGCCCCCAGCCCCTCCCCTCAGGCCCCCAGCCCCGCCCCTCAGGCCCCCACCCCTCAGGCCCCTAGCCCCGCCCCTCAGGCCCCCAGCCCCTCCCCTCAGGCCCCCACCCCCTCCCCTCAGGCCCCTAGCCCCTCCCCTCAGGCCCCCAGCCCCGCCCCTCACCTATCGTCTGTGCCAGGGCGAGGGGGGGGGCAAGGCTGTACAGTACTGGGCGGGTCGCTGTGGTCACGTGACGCGCGAGCGCACGCGCCATTGGTCGGTGCTGCTACGAGACGAACTCTGCCGACCTCCCCGAAGCGAGGCAACCCACAATGCAATGTGCCACTGACATTTGATAGTTTACATTCTAATTAAATTGAGTTTATTTAGTAATAGAGCAATTGCTTTGATTAGTAAAAGGTGTATCTGTTACTCAATAGCTATATGTAACTATTCACACGCCAATTTAAAATGTCAGATCTTTTAATCTCTTTATCAGGCCCAATTGTATAAATTGCAGTCACCAACTCTTATCCACCCTCTCTATGGTATTGTTCGTTTTAATATTAGCTTATAAACACTCGGTCTGTGCTGCTCTACATTTACCTGGGTAAACAAGTGGGCAAAGTATTTTCTTAACCCTGGCTCAGCTGGCTCTAAAACGAATTAACTTAGAAACTCTTTAGAAATACACAGAGATGCATATCCACTCAGAGAGATACAGATAGACTGGGTGCAAAGTGGGTTAAGTTTTGATCAATCTTGGCCAGCTGGCTCAAGAGCTTAATAAACGAATGCCACGAAATCTCTGGATCTCCGCCAGGCACGCGCAAGCCATCACACTCAGCCACGACAGCGGTAGCACTACACATAACCTGGGCCCTGTCATAGAAATGTGGAATTGTTGTTCTCTCCACTGGCGCAGGATTGTTGTTACGGGAGCACGTGGGTCGCGAGGCTTGACCGAGAGATTTCAGTTCTAAGAATGTTCTGGAAGGGTTAGGCAATAGGAAATTCTAAAGCCTACAATTTTGGAATGTTGCCACCAAAAATTCCGTGACAAAAAACTTTTAGTTCTTTTGGGTTTAAACTTAGACATACGAATTCATAATAGACGGTTTTTTGGGGGGTTAACTCACGTAAATAAAAATGTGTCGTTAAACCCACCACCACCCGACACAGCCAATTAGTAAGGTTTGTCGTTTAAACAAAACATGCCGATTCGTTACTAGTACAGCACACCGGTGTGTTGGAGAGTGAACCCACTACAACATTTACAATTCGACATAGAAAGTTACTGGAACGTATGAAGGGTGCCGAATCCAAACGTGACAGTGTATTTTTGGCCAACTCAGTTGTTTGGGTAACTTTCTAAAGAGTGTGACGCTGAAGCTCATAGAACTGGTTAAGCAAATATCGATGAGCTGCGAGTCGGTGCGGTGCGTATTTGTCCAAGGGCCTAGTGCTACATGGAAAGACAAAGACCCCCCGTATAGCCGCACTAGGCTGTTGAGGCAAGTGCTGTTAGAGAGTAGCACCTATGAAGGGGGTGGGTGGCCAGCAACCACGCACTGCTGCCTTTGTCTCCCCGGCGGCAATGTTTACACATCGCACCAGTTACTGATTTGAGGCTGAGCCGACCTAGGGGAGACCCAGGTCCGGTTCAGATAATCGTGACTGGTGGTGGCCCTGAGTGGTAATCGAGCTCGGGTCGCAGTGCGCTAACCGCTACACCACCGCCCCCCACACACACGAATTCCTGAGCAGCCACTGTGGGTGTCTGCTGCGAGAGGAGCGGGGTGTGGGGGGCTCACTACCAGCCACTGCCACGTGGACGTCACAAACCCTGTGATACGGTTCGCAAGAGTTGGGGGGGGGGGGCATTGTGACACGTCGCCTGCCCATGAACTCCTAACGCTGGCACCCAGACTGGCGCACCGCCATCTCACCCAAACCCCCACCAACAGGTACGCGACATGCCGTCAGCCCGTGGTCTCCAGAGGCCAAAGCCAGAATACAGCTCATTATTTGGTGATGCCGCCGCTGCTGTTGTGTTGGCAGTAGTGCACAAGCACAAACAACAACAAAGTCGACACGTTTGTCAATAACGCCGCGTGTGTGTGGCCTCAACAGGAAAGATATATCACACGCGGTGTTTCAGCTCATGGCAAATGTACGTCATGATGAAGGGTTATTGTCCGAAACGTTGGCTATTGTCAAATGTTTACCTTATAAGGTCGCAACATTGTTGACAGGCGTGTTGGGTTATTTAGCTATTTACACGAGACCAAATAACGTGTGCATAAAACCACATTTCCCGTGCTCCCCTACCAGTCACCAGTGTTCGTCTGGCGACGTGGGTCACCCACCCACTCCTCCACCCTCCCACCCAACCACCCACTCACTCCTCCACCCACCCACCCAACCACCCATCCAGGGTCACCCACCCACTCCTCCACCCTCCCACCCAACCACCCACTCACTCCTCCACCCACCCAGGGTCACCCACCCACCCCTCCCACCTAGGGTCACCCACCCACTCCTCCACCCACCCACCCAGGGTCACCCACCCACCCACTCCTCCACCCACCCACCCAGGGTCACCCACCCACCCACTCCTCCACCCACCCACCCAGGGTCACCCACTCCTCCACCCGCCCACCCAGGGTCACCCACCCACCCACTCCTCCACGCACCCACCCAGGGTCACCCACCCACCAACTCACTCCTCCACCCACCCACTCCTCCACCCAGGGTCACCCACCCATCCCTCTCGCTTGTACCTCCTGTAAACTTCAAGCGGCGTGTTCTCACCCCCCCACCGCCCCAAGCGATGATAATTCGTGCCGAGGTCTCACAGCCTGAGCGAGCCCAGCACCGCAACGAGAGCCCTCGGCCCCAACCCCAACCCGCCTCGTCTCAGGTGCCACCTGCCCGGGCCGGTCTCACCCCCCCCCCACCACTCACCTCCCCCACTCACCTCCCCCACTCACCCCCCCCACCACTCACCTCCCCCACGCCCCCACCCGTCTGACAGCAGCAGACCCCCACCCCCCACACTGCACGCGCCCTCCCCACGCTGTCCTCACGGCACCGAGCTCACAAGCTCCGACCCGTTCCGTTGGATGTTTTTTTCTTTTTCTCCAGCGCCGCTCGTGATTGTGGCATCACACCAAGAGGTCGAAGGGGACAGACGCGGGGCGCGCACACAGCCGCCTCGGTGCCTGCTCGGAGCGGGCTGTGGTCGGGCTGGTCGATACCCGCCGGTGGCTGGCGAGAAAGAGCGAGAGAGAGACGGGCGAGAGAGAGACGGGCGAGAGAGAGAGACGGGCGAGCGAGAGAGAGAGACGGGCGAGAGAGAGACGGGCGGATGAACGCGCGGCAGGGGGAATTCTCACGTGAGCTCCGTCGTCACGGACGGACGACGCAGATGGGGGTCTCGGCGTGGACTTGTGGGAGCGGCAGGAGGTCAGGCCGTCTGGCTCGCAGGTTGCAGGGAGAGCGGGCGGGCGGGAGTGTGGGGAGGGGTGCGGGAGAGGAGGAGGAGGAGAGAGAAAGCGCTTCCCGTGGCGGTGGTGCCTTGTTTCCTCTCGTGCCCCCCCGCCCCACCACCTCTCTCTCTCTCTCCTCACGGCGCTCATTCAGCCCCCCCCCCACCGTTCCCAGCACCTCCCCGTGCAGCGTGACGCCCAAAGCAGCCCTGCCCAGAGGAGTGCCGAGCCCTCTGCTGCCGCTGTCGAGGTGGCCCAGAGAGCCAGAGAGGGCTTCCTCGCGCACAGATATCACGCGCACCACGTCGCTCCTCCTTCACAGCTCCCTCCTTCACAGCTCCCTCCTTCCCCGCTAACTCATTCACAGCTCCCTCCTTCACCGCTAACTCATTCACTGCCCGTGTTTGGCTGGATTCAGAGCATTGGCCCCGCTGTTGTTTACCTGTCAATATAAAAAAAGAGAATTTAGTTTTTTATTTGAAAAATAAAACCGATATCATTCATACCTGTCAACCCCTTATCAGCGCCGACATTATTACAGCCCAATTCAGACCATGTTGGTCACCCCGTCCCCTTATGCATGTCAACGTTCATCCGACGAAGCCCCGTTTTGAAACGGCCGTACGCCATATGGACCTGGAAATTCAATTTCCCTGCAGAAGAATGCGGGTTAAACCGTAGGGGTTGACACGGTATGATAATTACAGCTTTTCAAAACAGGATTTATGAAAAATAAATTTGGTCTCGGCCCTCGTGTCGCTCACCTGGCGAGCGAGAGCGAGGCGGTGATTCGTTCTCACCACTCCCTGTAGCGATGACCCCGGGGTCACGATGCGATGGCCCAGCTTGGGTCAGATCGGGTGTTGCGCTGCCCGCCAATGCCCCTGCTCCACTCCCCCCTCCACTCCCCCCTCCACTCCCCCCTCCACTCCCCCCTCCACTCCCCCCTCCACCCCTCCACTCCCCCCTCCACTCCCCCCTCCACTCCCCCCTCCCCTCCCCCCTCCACTCTCCCCTCCACTCTCCCTTCCCCTCCCCCCTCCACTCTCCCCTCCACTCCCCCCTCCACCCCTCCACTCCCCCCTCCACTCCCCCCTCCACCCCTCCCCTCCCCCCTCCACTCCCCCCTTCACTCCCCCCTCCACACCCCCCTCCACTCCCGACCTCCACTCTCACCTCCCCTCCACCCCCCTCCACCCTCCTCTCCACTCCCCCCTCCACTCCCCCCTCCACACCCTCCTCCACTCCCCCCTCCACTCCCCCCTCCACCCCCTGCGCTCCTCTCGATGGGTTCTGTGCCTACCTCAGCCAATGGCAAACGGAGGGAACATTTCAGGCTGATGGTGATGATTATAATAATTTAGTACATTAGAGGTACTTGTCTCATATAGATGCATATAGCGCCTTAATCTAAGGCGCTTACAGAAATTATATAAAATTGCACTGAAGATGATAGTGGCTGAATTAAATAGTGGAGTTGTTATTAAAAGTGGTAGTGTCGTTATGGTGACAGGACAGGTTGCAGTGGTTAAGGAGGGTTTGGGGTAGTGATGTGGTAGGGGTAGTGATACCAGTAGTGATGTGGTAGGTGTAGTGATAGTAGTAGTGATAGGGGTAGTGATAGGAGTAGTGATAGGGGTAGTGATAGGGGTTGGGCTAGGCCTGCTCGTAGCTGGGGGCAGGCAGTAGCAGTGGCATGATGACGCTGGGCTACAGGAGAAGAGATGGGGGTTGTTTTAAGAGAGAGACGGAAGCAGGTGAGTGAAGATGATTGTTTTATGTGCAGTGGGAGTAGGTTCCAGAGCCACCACGAAGGAAGGCGATTCTGTGGTTCACAGTTGGATGTATGCTGCCGGTAGGGAGCGATGTTGCTGAGTGTTTCGCTGCGACGTTTAATTTCCAAATGTGCCCGGTTTGGAGCGTGGCGCCCGGCACACGATGGCCTACTCGTATCGAATGACGTCAGGGGGAGATGTCTAACGTCCGCTATGAAGCTATGTTCTGGTTAATAAACACCTCCAATATTAGCCAGCGTGGTCCGCCAGAACCAAGCCTATGGACTGGCCTTGACGTGCAGTGGTTCATCAGCAGAGCCAGGGTTGCTCGAAACCGGTCCAGAGTGTTGCCAGTGCTGAGTCGATGATGCCAATATTTCGCCCTCCCAGAAGGCCGTGGAACTGATGTATTATGTAAGAAATGCTTTTATGAACGTGGAGAGAAGCATTTGTGAATGAGACATTATCTGCCCGTCTGTTCTGTATATTATCCTCGCAGAATGACGCTCGTGATAATGTGGAGCTCGTGATTATGTTTGTGTGTTTGGAAGAGGGGAGGCGCATCAATTGTACAGGGCGCTCGGTGCGGACTAATTCCGTGTCTGTGATGCGAAACACAGTCTCACCCCGAGGTATCATCATCCATCACAAGGAGCCATCGAGGTAGGTTCCAAGCATATGCCGTGTAACCAGTGGAGAGAACTAAAAAGACCAGGAGGGTACAAGTCTAATTTGCCAGAGTGACTTGGGTCACCAAAATGATAAAGGCAAAAAAAAAGTACAACAAGGAAGCGACTGGAAATGTGTGTGAGTGGGGAGGTAGGTAGGTGAGTGAGTGAATGAATGGATGAGTGTGTGAGTGGGCCTGTGAGTGAGTTGAGTGAATAATTGAAGGTTTGAGTGTGTGAGTGGGTAGGTCGCTGAGTGAGTGAATGGATGCGTGGGTGAGTCGTGGGGTCAGTTCAAATTGATGTCGTGTAGCCAGGTGAGAGAACTCAAGAGACCATGATAGGAATCGAATTTGTGAGCGTGACCTGTTAGCAAAATGACAAAAGCAGCAGCTGGGAGAAGCCAAAACTACGCAGGGTGCTGCACTGCCGTCTGCTGCTCAAAAGTAAAAGCGTGGTCTCGCAGAAGCCGATGGCACTTACGAGGATTGTCCAGGCTCAACGCCTGCTTAGTTTCCGAGATCAAACGAGATCGGGCGCATTTATAAATTCTCAGGTAAGTTGGTCAAATGCTATATTTTTTTAAATTACAATATTTATCCTGGACAGTCCCTTGAGATGGGACCATCTCGTGTGCTCGGGTGTCTATTGACACATAGCAAAGACATATCCCCAGTGCAGCCTTTAACAAAGGGTTAGGCCAAGTACTGTTAGCGAGCGCATAAGAAGACCAGCACGTACTCTTTGGTTCTTTCGGTAAAGCCACGTAGGTAGAAATAAAATAAAATAAATCACGACGTTTCGATCGCAACACAAGCAATCCTCATCAGCAACACAAGCAATCCTCATCAGGGTTCCTTGTGATGCGATGGAAACGTCGTGATTTGTTTTTATTTAATTTCTACCTACGTGATTTTACCGAAAGATCCAAAGAGTATGGATTCCTGCAGTCACGAAAGCTTCAAATCAAGGTTAAGACCAGCACGGCGCATGAGGAGGAGGTGTGGCAAGGGCCACTCCCGACCGAAGTTTCCCCAGTGCTGATGTGTTATACACACCGCACAAGGTACTCATTTAAGGCTGAGTCGTCCTAGGAGGGATTCCCAGGACCGGCTCCGATATTGGCCACCGGCGTTTGGTGGTCGTGAGCGGGAAATCGACATTCGGGTCGCCGGGTGCGGTAGCGCAGTGGAGCGCTAACCGCTGCGCCACCGCTCTTCCTCTGCTGAAGGAGAGTGATTACAATATCGAGGCCCATAGTTCGCCGTGCCTGGCCACGATTGCACAACTGTGGCAGTCGTGAAGATGTGGCTTGTTTAAGAACGCCCTCGAGAGGGAGGGCGGGCGGGCGGGCGTTTGTTTATTTCAAGTGAGGCCCTTGAGGAAGGAGCCAGCAGAGGGAGTCCTCTGTCAAGAGATTGATGGCGATCTCACTCGCAGTAGCCCGGGGGGGGGGGGGGGGGGCACGCGAGAAGAGGGAGTTGCGCGTGCGGCCCTCTGAGTACGCACGATGATGCGTCACGTCTCAGAGATGGCCTGACAGAAACACGGGGGTGACCTTACTATTATTACTGTTTTACCAACTAAGCCGCATTGAACTATATAGCGCTTTTTCAGAAGCGACCTGCCCACAAATGATAGCCCAACGAAGTGGCTCATCGCGTGGAGATGTATAGCGGCCAAATCCTCTCAACGCGTGGAGATGTTGATTCTAAATGTGGAGGGAAATCCAGAGGACCCTGAGAAAAACCGACGCGACTACGGGGTGAAAGACACGCAAACTCCAAACATACAACATGCGTCAGTATCGGCATCGAACCCACGACCTCCTGTGTACCAGGCGGGGTAGTTAACATCTCCTAGCCACCGTGGCTACGATAACACGCCTACCCACAATGCGTCATGCCAGCAAGCACTTTATCATTTTACTTTGAACACACATTCGTTTATTGAGTGCAGTAGTTGCACGTTCCTGATTATTGAAGATGTTTGTCTGGTACTCAATAGCTACTATTCGTGTGACTATTCATACGCATATTTGAACAAAAATGCTGATCAGATAAACATTTAGTAAAATATAATTCCCATTAGTGCCCATGACGTTAATATTGTCTCCCAACTCCACGGATATCTCTGTTAATGGGTTATGAAGAAGGGCCAATACCAGTCCGACTGAAACGGCGCCTATTATATACTGTATATATTTTTTAAGCCCTCATGGTGTTAGTGGCTATTGGGTAACACTGTGCTGGGTGCCACATAAGGTCCTGGAGAGTGGGCCGTGGAACAATTGCAGATCGGGTTGTCAGCTTTCACACTGAAAACTAAACGTGGACATCAATCTCAGCAGGACTGTCCATATCGAAACTATCGCGGTCTACTCATCGACTGAAGCAAGGCTGAACGCAGTCCCACCGGTACTCGATCTCGATACAGTATACCTCAATCCTTGCCACCCAAACACACAAGTTGCAAACTCCCGGATGGTGAACGATGCGTGCAGGATGGTTTGACGACACCACTCGCAGCCGCCCTTTCACCAAGGGTCACGTGGCCCTTGAGAGGGAGAGCTGTTCATCACAATGGGCTCTTCTCGAGTAATCATCAACTTC